AATATTATAATTGATTGTTGTTCATTTAAAGTTCTTACACAATTTTTGCCAAGTTCTATAATGAAGACTGTCACAATATTCTTGTGAGATAAATTTTGGATATCCATTTTTAGAAGGATTAACTGAGACACAAAGAAGTAATATGATTCCCCTAAATTCAATCTTGTAGAGGACTGAGGAAAGTGTGGAAAAGTTGTAATTCATGATGTACTCCTATTTTCAAGAGCAATATTTAGTAGTGAAAAAGGTAGTCTCAAGATTTCTTTAAACTGGGCTCACTTAGTTTCGTTTCTGCCTGTTCCTCCACAGAACATCATATAGGAATTAGCACACTGTAGAATATAAATGCTGTCCCTTGATTTACTCAAGGTTACCAAATTCCTCATAATTTGGCAATGCAAAATTTCTTTTAGGACAAGATCAATCTCAGATTTTTGGTGTCAACATCATAGAAATCAGATTCCAGAGTTTTGATGATGCTTTGCTTTAAGAACTTTTGGAGTCCTAAAAGTATTACTGTCATATACATAAATACTGGGTTCTATTTTGTAAACTTGTACACAATGAGTATACAGAATGACAAGTCAAATATTTTTATGTGTGTATATGCTAGGGTCAAAAGATTAATCAGTTAAGTGTCAACAAGTAGGACCCATGTTTCTCACCACTGGAATTATAAGCTATATGTAAGAGAAACAGGGAACACACATTTATGTGGATTATGGTTGAAGACATCAACATGCACTCATACACAGCTAAAATATATGGATACTCACATAAGCTAGTATGCAAAAAGGTATTTCCTTCTCCTGTCAGCTGGTAAGGTCTTCAAACAACAACACCAACTCAGTAAAAACAAGTCAACCTGGTGGCAAAACTTTGGTTTCCAGTAAAATTTGCCAGTAAATATAACCAGGACTGCTTCAAAAAAGCTTCAAATGTAAAAACATGCTAATCAGTAAGGATGGGGATTCAATACAAAAGGGCTCTTAATAGCCAAAGCAAGAAGAATTTGGTCACCAAAATAATTAAAGAGACATATAATTGTAATCTAAAAATATAATAAACATCCATGAATCCTTGTATATATAAATAATTGTAAGAATAAATAGAATAAGAGACAACTCTCCCACTTACAATAATTCCAAATAGCTTACAGAGATATTTGCAATCAAGAATGTGGTAAATAACTCACTAAACTTTAAATATGGATTGTACATAGTGACTTCTTTTCAAAAATGTACGAAAGGGAGAAAATCACTACATTTAGGAAAAGCCAAAGGGCTGGCCAAATAGCTCATCAGACTAAAGCACCTGCAAGTAGGTGCAGGGGCTGGGTGTTCGATCCTTAGGGCTGCTGTACCAGCCCTGCCCACAGGGCACGCTGAGACAGCAGTTGAGACTGGGCATGGGGGCACATGCCTGTAATCCCAGCTCTTAGGAGGCTGTAAACAGACAGAACACTATGTGTCCGATGTAGTAGTGAGACCCTGAACACCCTGTAGACCTTTCCCTAAAATGCAAAAAAAAAGAAAGAAAAGAAAAAGCCAATAAATAAAATCTTTACCAAATTCTCAAGGTTAAGAAGAGCAATGCCAAATTAAAGCAAGACCTATATAACTAAAAATGTAACTTTTATATCTGACAAGGTCAGTCAAATCCCCTCAGGATTTACCCTGAAACCATGTACAGCAGATTTTGTCAGCCATCTGTCTTAACCATCCAGCAGAAAAGAATAAACACGAGGTATGAAAAGTAATGCCATATTAATATGTCGAGCTGTAAAAAGCTCAAGTCAACAATTTCTGATAATTGCCAGTTCAACTGATAACCCACTACTATTATGGACTATTGGACTGTATTGAGATTTTTTCTGAATTCTAGTGACTGCAATATTTGAACTGGCATCAAGTATGAAAAATTCCTTTAACAACTTCTCCAAATACAGTTTCTTTAACAGCAATGGAATACCCATCTCTAACAAAGCAAAACAAAAAAGGGAGATATAAATGAAGGAACATTTTGTAGTGAAAAATATATATATTTTTCACACAATAGTTAGGATAGATATACAGATACTTTCTCTTAGTTCAATGAGAAGAAATATTTGTACTAATAGTATTTAGACAAGAGATCATGTTTGCATCTTGTACTCTGAATAACTACTATGAAGACAACAATATGCAATGTGTTAATTATTATAACTGTCCTACTAACCTGTTTTGAAACTTCTCATTGCTATTTCTTTCTCATTAAAATTAATAAAGAAATTTTAAAACGAATGATGCCATGTAAATATCATATAATGAAAATGTAACACTTTATCCTGTGAATGTCTTTCCTAAAACCCCAGCTGCTTAATGGAAAAAATAGTAGGTAAATCCAAATTGATCAACATATTTTTCATTACTTCCAAGGTAACTGAAAGCTAAGTCTGAGAACCTGTTGTAACCAAAAGGAACCTAAGAAAATATGATTATGAAATGTAGATGTAGTGTAGTATCTTGAATATTAGAAGGATGCTAAAATAGAAAACTAATATTAGGTAAAACCTAAGTCAATTGGACAAAGTACGAACTTCAGTTAATGTTAATGTATCAATATTGTTTCATTAATTTTAATAAATGTACAATAACTGTGTAAAGTATTAATAGCATAAGAAACAATGCAGAGCATATGGAAATTTTCTGTACCATCTTCACAATTTTTCTGTAAATCAAAAATGTTTCAATATACAAAATTTATTTTAAAAGACCTTCATGTCAACGAACATTCATATTATGACCACAAAAGATTCCACATAACTGACCCTACAAGTTCACATTCCTTATGGTTTTTTTTAAATTTTACAATGAAAGTTATGAAATAGATCTGTTAAACGGCCAATAATCCACAGATGGAGAAATTACCTTGCAACAATTCACAGGATAGTATCCAAATCTATTAAATGAAGCCATCACTATGTACTGGGCAACTGTCACACTAACTGTGCTTTGCTCTTATAAATATATCAAATTCAATGAAACCCAAAATGCTACCTATGTGAGATACATTTTAGTATCTCACTGTCTATCTAGCAATATTTTTACATGCTGTTGTTACTGTAACTCCTTAGTGTCTCTGTACTTGAATGCATGTACTCTATAAAATTTCCTTTGATAAATCTTAATACATTTCTCAAAGTATACTAAATAATTCAAGTTTTTATTTTGGTAGTTGGCAGGAAAAGAAGACAATAAAAATAGAGTTAGAATTCCTTTTTGGCTAAAGCTAATTACCAAATTAATCCTTTATTACCTTGCAGAAAAAAATTTAAATAAATATTCAGGAAGATGGGAGACATTAATATTTGGAAAATTTAATAATCTTAATTATTTATGAATAGAGCTTATGTCCAATGTAAAATATCTTGAGATCTGTGAGTAACAGGTCAGTTATGATCTCTAGAAAGGACTCAGTATCTAAACAATCTAGGAAAAGCTCAATGCCTTGATTTCTACTTTGAAATACTGTATCAGCTACTTGATTATAAAATTTGAACGTATGACAGTAATGCACTTTTGAAATCTGTTCTACAGTTACCCAGAGGTTCCCAGTAGAACACTGACCCCAAATATTTCCTAATGCTTTAGTAATTAGCTTTGGACTTGCATATGAAAAGTCAAGAAAAAGTCCTATCAAAATAATAATAATAATAATAATAATAATAGTAATAATAATGATAGTAAAATCCTACATGTTGTTTCAAAAAATGTAAGTACTTCTTGTGTTTATAAAAAGTTAGTGATATAGAAAGACATTACAAGTTGAAATGAGGTAAATAAAATCTATGCATTACAAAAGTATTAGAAGTTAAAAATTGTGTGTCTAATATTATGGCAATAACTACAAACATTTTTCTTACTATGTCATCAACTAAATTATTTCTGAGCTGTAAAGTTGTTTGAAAGACAACATAAAATTGGATAATTATAGCCATCACATAAATATTATAGTAAATCACATTAAATTTCACATAAAATTTTCTTTTCTTTGTTTTAACTGTATTATCCCTAAGAAAATGAGTGTGCAGTTCTATAAAACCTCAGTGAAACATTTGAAGAATCCGACCTGCTTTTGTCACATCTGTTAAATATGAGAGATGAGTAGGAATAGAAATAATAATCTCCCTCTTTGATATTAGAATTCTATGGTTTAGTTATTATGGGCATCCTCAAGAGGTACTCCTCTAAAATATTCAGGCAGGGATTGGATAAATACCTGCCAAGGAAAAGAGTTCAATAAGAAGGAAAACTTCAGGAGATAGTCTGAGCTTACTCCAATTGCTAAAATACCCTGCTCCCTTTATACTAGAAGAGGAAATATATGTTGTGGAGGTAGATCTGAGGCTCTTTGAAAGAATCAGTGTTTATGGCGCAGACAATATTATTAAACAGTCTGACTGGGCAACCAAATGTGTACATTATGCAACCTGCTGTAATGGATAAATGAAATGACTTAGCTGTTCTTGTAGTTGTAAGACCTTATACTGTTTCCAAGATAATTTTTACCATAAACCTCTCACATTCATTTTAAAATACAGTAATGAGTGCCAATAATATTGTGGGATGAAAACAATTCCTTTCTTTTAACCCCTCACATCTATATGACATGACCTCTGTGTATGATTCCTCATTATATAATAGACTGATGTTGCTTTATGTAAACAAAAAATAAATATTAAGGTGCAAAATCCCTCAACACAGTGTCTCAAAAGGCTGCTATCTGAATGAGGTTTGTGATTAATAACACTTTTGATACCCTTCCTAAATGAATCTTACCTTTAAATTGTTATCAGGATAATTCCATGTCTACTTGTTCTTGTCATTGCCTGACATATTTTTTCAAATACTTTGTCTGTTCCATAATTGTTGCTGTGTACTCTGAATATTTTTCCAAATTTAATCTCATAAAGAATGTAACTGTGCCACAAAATTTTTATTCTTAAAGGAGCTGAAGTAGGAAAAGGAGTATAAGAATATTTCTTTATTCTTTTTGATGGACTTAAAAAGAAGCACCAGCACTGACTAAAAACCAAATCACAAGTAGAAATACAACTGAATTTACAAAATGTTTAAGTTGATATAACACTCACCTTATTTACTGATAATGTGTCTTATCACTAGGTCAGAAATCTCAATAAATAGTATACTGATCAACTACATATTTATCCTTCTTCCATCCAGGAATTGAAAAAAATTGTATTAGGATGTATATGTACTCATTCTAGAAAACAAGAGTAAAATAAAGGGAGAAGAAAGAAGCATGTTTTTTCACAGCCTTGAGTTTGATTCCTGTTTTGCTATTGTAGGAAGAACGTCTGTTTCAGAGGAGAGGAGACTGGAGTTGGAGGCAGCCATGGGTGCCACACTAGAATTCAACCCATGCAGCGGTTGAAAAAAAAGTTAAATCTAGACAGAGGAGAGGTGAAGGTGGAATATATAGGGTCCCATGGAAAGCCAGCTATCTTTTCTCTAGTCTCGTCAACCTGGCTCAGTAGGCTGCTCCAATCCCATTCCAGAGGAAAGTCGAACTCAAAGAGCAAAAATATGGTTGTCATCTCAGCATATACATAGGAAACAAACTAGCACAGGTCCTCTGGAATGGCCTGTGGTGCTCACATGGTGTCATGGCGTCGGCGGTGCAAGGACAGGTGGTCAGAGCGAGAAAAGCTGCGGTTGCAGTCTGTGCACTGGAAGGGTTTGACGCCTGTGTGCTTACGGAAATGGCGTGTGAGCTCATCTGAGCGAGCAAATTTCCAGGAGCAGCCATCCCAGGTACATTTATACGGTTTCTCTCCTACAAAGAGATTATGCAAAAACAAAAGTAGTCAGAGAGGAGAAGCTTGGATCCAAGAAAAATAAAAAAAATACATACATAATTTTTATCAAACCTGAGTCTAAAGGTGTTGGCAATCCAGGCAATAATGGTGCAACCCTATAATTAATTCTACCTATTGCAGAAATTGAAGCAGGCGGTGTGCAAACTCTAGGCCAGCCTACACATTTTAGGGAGGTACTGTTTCAAATTTTTTAAAAAATAGATCAGGTGAGTTGATGTGTCTATAATCTCAACACTATGGAGGCTGAGTCAGTAAGATTGCTATGAGTTTGAAGCCAGTTCACACAGTACAGTGAGTTCAATGCCAGCATGAACCACATAGCAATACACTGTCTTAAATGATGAAAGAAAATCAAAAGTAAATTCATAAAGATGGATGAGGATATATATCCCTAGCAAAGTGATAAAAGATTCTCTATCACTCATGAAATTCTTGGTTCATTCCTTAGTACCACAAAATGGAACAGGAACAACAATCACATTGAGAGCATGATTTACACTTTTTTAACTAATTCGAATCATATATTACAAAATGTTTTAAACTATCTACAGATGTCGACTGGCTAAATTATTAACATATACATTACTTTATATACATATTTTGATAGGACAGTTCAAATCTACTATCTTAGAGAGGTTCGATTGTACAAGCTATTGTTACTCATATAAGTCCTAAAGAAAATCTACTGTGTCTTGTATATCTAGATACCCTCTCTAAGATTCATGCTCTCATAAGTGGGGCTTTTTAGAGCTGGCTATGACTAGAGTGTGTGATACTGGGATTAAAGTTATATGGTACTAAATTATTCCATTGATTGGAATTAGCATTGCCACCATCCAAAAGGCATATTGCCTAGATGGGATAAAAGGGAAAGGCAGGGGAGTATTCTTGGTGTCATGTAAAAACTTTGATGGACACTGGGCAGCTTGCAAGACTCTGGTAATCTGTGACCAACCTTAGCCCCCAGTGCACAGGGTAGGAGCGTCTCGTGATGCTGATACAAACTTTTAAGAACTGAGCAGGACTCTGAGTGGCCTGCAGGACACAAGACAGCTGTGATCTCTGTACCCAGCCCAAGCTGGCTTGGAGCTTTCCTGGAGCCATTTAAGATTCTTCACTGAATCTCAGCACCAGGAATCTGTCTGGGTGATTGCTGGGAGCTTTAAAATGGAGGATCAAAGAGCAATTTCACTGAGCTCAATCCCCGGTTCCAAAAAAAAAAAAAAAAAAAAAAAAGGCAATTTCAATCCTCTACCCTCTCACAAAAAAGTCCAGGAGGCAAGTAATACAAACACTTAGAAATCATACACCTGAAATCTCTGAAATGATAGCAACTGAAGTGAAAAAATAAAAAAGTCCAGGAGGATATACATGAAATAAGAGCAAAAATACGCTCTCGGGTCCAAAAAGAAAGGGCAACAATTGTGAAAGAATTGCTAAGCACAAGTAAGAAGATACAGAGAAAAAAATAGAAGATAACAGATAAATGATGGAAACATTAAATGAACAATACCGGAAAGAATTAGAATGCATGAAATAGATTCAAACAGATTTCCAGGATACTAAGAACTCCAATGAAAGATGGCAAAGCCACTTGAATGAAACTGAAGATCGAATTTCAGACCATGAACACAGTGTTGCAGCTAATGAGGAAACTAACAAGGAACATGGAAAGAATAATTCAGCAGCTACAAGACAATGCAAAGGAAAATAATATAAGAATAATAGGTATCAATACAGTAGCGTGAGATAGCACAAATTACATAAAAAGACTGTCAGCAGAAGTGATAGCAGAAAATTTTCCAAAAATAAGAAAAGAAACTGACAGAGTTAAGTGAGGCACATAGAACTCCACACAGCCATAACCAAAATAAATCTATACCTAGACACATGGTAATCAGGATCTCATAAATTCAGGCAAAGAATAGAATAGTAAAAGCTGCTAGAGATAAGAAATAGATCACCTACAATAGAAAGCCCATCAAATTCAAGGCAGATTTC